CTACCTCCTCCTCCTCCTCTTCCTTCTTCTCTTCCTTTGGAGCAAGGTCTCCTGTGTAGCCCAGTCCAGTCTTGAACTTGTAATCTTCCTGTCTTAGCCTTTGAAGTGCTGAGATTATAGGTATGTTCTACTACTACTACTTTCTTTTCCTTTCTACACACTTATTACCATGTTTCTGTTCTTGATATGTGGCCACCTACAGCTGTGACATCATATTTTATCTGAATATGATGTCATATTCAGGCTATTGGCATCATCAGATGTCAGTCTGGGCTTAGAGGCAGAGGGCCTGTCTAGATGCCAGTTTTCCTAGCTAAAAAGAAAATTCACCTTAAATGCATATCACAGCATTGGTGTATTCTGTAAGAAGTAGGCTTAATCCATCATTGTGCGGAGATGTCAGGGTTTATTTGGGTCACCAAGATCTACTTTTACCAAAAATATTCAGATGAATGAGGCAAGAGTGTTTGTTTTTCTCAGACATGAAGCTAATTATCTCACTTTTTCATTTTCCTTTCCTATCACAGCTCTGATCTTAACTATCAGTGGCTTATATAAAACCTTGGACAGGTTTACACCTGTTGATCAAGCTCTGCCCACCTTCTCCTGTCCCCGCTCCCATCCTCTCAGCCTATGCTGTCCACTGCTCCGTTCTCTCCTTCTGTGAAATCCAGCTTCTTTAGACTTTGTATATAAGTGAGACCATGTGATGTCTGTCTTTTTATGTCTGGCTTATGTCACTGAACACAGGCAGGAGGGAAAAGTTACAAAGCCCCAGTGCACAGCAGGCTACATGTAACATAATAACAGGTATTGCATACTACAAAATAGGCAGACTACTTCTTTCTGTTTCATTTTTGTTTGGTGTCTTTTTTTTTTTAAGTTGTATTTTTCTGTGTTGATAATTTAAAAATTTTTTTTCTTTATTTTTACATACTAACCACAATTTCTCCTCCCTTCTCTCTTCCAGTTCCCTCCTCACATCTCCCTTCTATTGCCCCCCCCATCTACTCCTCTTCCTTCTCCATTCATATGGGGTAAGGTCTCTCTTTGGCCTCTTCAAGACAGGGTTTCTCTGCAGCCCTGGCTGGCCTGAAGCTTGCTTTGTAGACCAAGCTAGCCTTGAACTCAGAGATCTGCCTGCATCTTCTTCCCAAGTGCTAGGATTAAAGGCGTGCGCCACCATGCCCAGCTCAGAAGAATATTCTTCACTTGATCTTAGCCAAAAGGCCGAGGAGCGATCAGAAGAATATTCTTATCACAAAGAAATAATAATTCTTTTTTGGGGGGCTGGAGGTGTGTGTGGAAGATACATTGTCACAACCGATGGCACAATATGTATTTGTATCAAAGCATTAGGGAGCATCCCGCAGACAGGGAGAGTTATCAGAAATTCATCTATTGGGTTCACGGTGATCTGGGTGACTGAAGTAGATTATGGGATCAGAGAATACCTGGTTCTCTCATAGGTAAACTAGAAAGTCAGCATCAGTGGAAACATAAAGATAAGTCACTAACTCCCTGATATACTGTGATCTGAGCAGACATATCGGTCCTCACCAGCTCATTGCCTCTAGAAGGTCCCTGGAGCTATTTACAGCTGAGCACATCTGCACAGCTCTTCTATGTGGCTCTTTTATGGACTTTTGTTTATGATTTGGTTGACCAAATATGCACAAAGGGCAAGGATGGAAGAGAAAAGATCAGTAGAACATCTTCTTGGACATGTTCAGTGTTAAAAATGGACAGATTAAAAAAAATCAAAGTCTTAAAAATGACAGAAGTCTTAGAAACAGTAGAAGATGAGAAAAAGGGAGCGTTTCTTCTGGATAGAAGATGTTTAGCCAATATGGAACCTGCTGTGAGCATCCACGAATAAAGAGCAAAGGAAGAGACAGAAGTCTCCATCATGCTCATTAACCCTGAAGGAGGCTGACCACCATACACGGGGAACCTCAAGAAGGCAAAGTCGCTTCTGATGACTACAGGTGAGTGTTTGCTTTAGAATTCTAGCAAATCCTATGAGAATAGATTCCTACAGGAAATCGGATTTGCTCCAGTGTGAGAAAGAAGCGACTTGTAAAAAAAACAAACAAACAAGAAATCCTAATATGTTAGTTCTGAGAAAAGGGAAGGAGATGTGGGGGGTGGGGGTGGGGCAGGACAATGGGCAGAGAACTTCATGATATAAGTTCCGGATTCCTTTCAGAAACAACAAGTCAATGAAGATAGAGAGACCATGAAACAATACTGGGATTTCTCACACTATGCTCTTAAATATCAGATAGATTTGCTCAGCATCCACTATAATGATTTTCTTACTCAAAGTTGTTTGTTTTTCCGTAGTGTTTAGCTAATGTCGAGTTCGATGATTTAGTTAATGATGATGTTTGATGATTGAGAATGAAGCCGACAGCTAGCTGCCTTGTGTGAAAATCTGGCATGGTGTATTTCTCCCTCACCTGGAATGAATCACAGAGCACAGAGCCTTTCCACCAAGAGAGCTGCAGGTGGATGCTGTATGCTCTTAGGACGGGGTGGGGGTGGGTGGGATGGGTGTGCAGCTGTCTCTGTGGTCTTCACTTGCTGTCCCTGTTCTGGGAGGTCTCACATACATGGCCTGCTGTTAAACCCCCCCCCAGGGGGGCAACTCAGAGCCTAGGTGGGGCAACTCAGGACACCCTCATAGGCACTACGCATCTCCTAATAGGGTTGCTGGATTCTAGCAAAGACTGCAAAGACTCCAAACACCGCCTCTGTCTCAGTATTTCCTGAGGTAGGTAGGGATCACTGCAAAGGGGCAAGAATCAAATAAACTAGGGGCCTTTAAAGCACCGTGGTCATCAAATACCAGATTAGGCCACAAGGCCAGAATGTTATGTTCTGGGAGTTCCTTACAACCAAGCTAAGCCCAGCAGGGTTTGAGACCGGTGGACAATGATACTGACCAAGGGAAAACCTTACGCCACAAATCATGCTCCCAATATCAGTCCAGACACCCCACAACCTGCCTAGCAGAGTCCCAGCCTTTGAGCCTAGCTGACCGATAGTCACTAATGTTGGAGGTCACACAGCTGAGCAATGAATTAGCCGCTTCCGTCTGGGTTGCCGGAGATAATGCCTCTGGCCTGTGGGTTATGATAACGTTGTCTAGGTGATGTCTCAGAAACTGGGAGACCACTTCTGCTAAAAGCATCGACTCTCTCCCAGAGCCCACAGCTATCTAATGTATGATTAAGATGGGATGAAAGGCCTGGCATCCTTGTCTCCGTATCACGTCTTTCTCCTTTGTTGCTGACTTTTGAGCCAGACTCTACTCAGCTCTGCATCTAGTCACGTTGATGATTTGAGAAGTGTTTTGTCCAAGACTACAATACAGGGAGAATCTTGTCTACTGCTCTTTGGAGTGGATGTGTTTATCCTGCCCTTCTGCTTTCTTCTTTTTTTATTTAAGAATTTTTTTTAGTCATTTTACATACCAACCACAGATCCCCCTCTCATCCCTCCTCTTGCTCCCCAGCCTCCCCCTACCCAAGCCACCCCCACCATCCCCTCATCCAAAAGGGTAAGGGTTCCCATGGGGAGCCAGCAAAGCCTGGTACATTCAGTTGAGGCAGGACCAAGCCCCCTTCCCCTGCATCAAGGCTGAGCAAGGCGTCCCACCATAGGCAATGGGATCCAGGAAGCCAGCTCATGCACCAGGGATAGATCCTGATCCCACTGCCCTCAGACAGACCACGCTACACAACTGTCTCCCGTAAGCACCCATTCTTGACAGCTCAAGTGTCTACAATCCCTCATCCTTATTATAAGGGCAAAACCATGATGAGGCCAAGACAAAGATGCCAGCAACAGGTGGGACTTAACAGTCCTGAAGATCCTGACAGTCCAATGACTAGTCCCCAAGCCTAGGGTGGACATTTACACCGGACGTTTGTGTCCATAGCAGGAGTAACACAGCAGTTGCAGCTGTAAGTCACTTCCTGATAGTCTGCAAATCCTGAGGGCAGAACGCTTGCACATAAAAAGAGAAAATACCCCCTGAGACCATGCTTATAACCAACTGATGATTACCAAGCCCTAGCCCACACCAAAAAAAAAAAAAAAATTAACGAACATCTGACATCTGACACTTCCTTTGTCCAAGCAAACAGACTGGTCACCTCTGGGTCATCTGGCTGAAGCCAGCCAGTGAATGGAAGTCCCAACACAGACAGAGCCTTGCGTGTTTTGTTTACAGTGTGTGGTTGAGTCTCATTTTCATTCACAAGACCATGTGACATTTCCATGTCACAAGACCCCAGAGTCCGGCTTCTTTTCCTGTCCAATATTTGGGGTTCCTCAGACATTACTCACTATTTACCTGGGATTAACTGGGAAGCCTGGATCTTATTTGGCAACCTTATTGTCTGAACTCTGCGGGTCTCCAGAGAGGGGGAGTTGGCAGGGTCGGCAGTGAGTGTCTGCAGAGCTGAGAAGAACTGCCGTGGAGGGTGCAAGTCACAGTCTGTGAGTGACAAAAGCCACAGAAACAGGGCACAGCCAGTCGGAGTCTCCTTGCTACTTCATCTCCACACCTCGCCCTGAGGCGGAGGAGCAAGCTGGAGAGCCTCTCCTTCCATAGTTCCTCCCAGGCCCCAGTGGGCCATGCTCTGAACTATTTGCAGTTAAGGAATGATTTTGGCTGGCAGGCAATGCAATTGTTAGAGCGTGAAGGGCCCGGCACCAGGGAAGGGTTGTTTGGAGGATGGGGGTGGGGGATGGGGAACACCAGCAGACACACACACTGATAAGCTGTAGGAGAGAGCAGACCTTCAAAACCACATGTACGGCATGACGTGAAACACACAGAATGTGCTGCGACTGCGTTTTAGAAGACATTATTTTGAACGCTTCACCAATCACCTATATTTCATTAGCATTGTGTGACACTGCTCTCGAGGAATTTCCTACCAAGTATGGAATGTGCTACCTTCGATCTGAACGTGACTGGTCAGGGTCACGGCGCTGGGCCTGCTGCTAAGCTTTCAGACTAGAAGTAGTCTCAGTTTGCCGTGGCCAAAATGTCTTTGTTCAGCTTCTATGGGTTTGTACAAATCCTTACCTCAATTGTTTATCTCTCGTTAGTAGAGTTTTAGAGGATTTATCATTCAAGCCTTCAAAAATTCTGGAATGGGTAATTACTGTGATTAATTTTTTTTTAGACAGGTTTTAGTCTGAAGTGTTTGACTCAGATTCACAATCCTCCTGCCTCAGCGTCCCAGGACTGGAGTTACAGGCATGTGTCACCGTGCCAGGTTAATACTGTCATTGATGCCCCTAGCTCTAACACAGAATAATATGATATCCTGGTGCAGGCATTTCTAGTTTACTTGTCATCATTTATTAATATGATATCCTGGGTGTGGGCGTTTCTAATTTATCCATCATTATTTATCTTGACTCTTAAGTTTGATGGTGTTCTCGTAGAATGACTTTATTGTAGTTAGGCTGAATTCAATCACAAAGTTAAACTTGGCTAAGGTGGAGGGATTTTCTTCTTGGTGCTCAGTTGTTACTTAGTCACACATAGCACAAGGCTGTATTACTGTGCAGGTTCTAACGCCATGGAAAATAGTTAAGCTTTCCCATGCTTCTCCACCTAAAATCTGCCCATAAAAATACAGCTTCCTTGCAAAATTATAGTTTAGAGGGAGGAATTGTTTATATATGGCAATGAAATAAATCTGCTTTTTTTTTTTTGTAATAAAACTCAAATGCCTAATCAATGTTACTAGCCTGTCCATTTTTCTTCTTCTTTTTGAATTTTAACACGATATTTTAGGTCTCCTAGAAGAGTCACACCATGGCCACCTTGGAATAAAAAGGAATCAGTCCGACTCCAAGAGGCAGGTGTTTTTAGTCTCAGCCCAGAGTTTGCTCATGGAGAGCCTGAGTAGGGCAATTATCAACAGGATCATCTCTCCAGGACCATAGCTGTAGCTGTCCCTGTGGATTTTAGCATGGTGATGGACGGGAAGAGCATGTGGGTATGACGGGAGGCGTGGGTAGGGTCAAGTAAGGAAACCGTCTTTCTGTGTAGGACACAGGCGGCGTTTTGTTACTGACAGCCTTGTGACTACAGCAAAGACACCCAGTTCCCTGGACAGCTGATGTGCAGCTGCGGCCCCAGGGCCCCAGGCTCACTCACCGGTGCTGCTCTGGATGGTCCTCACCGTGGTGGTTGTGCGGGGAGGAGAGGACGACCTCAGCGACACGCACTCGTCGTCCTGGGAGCAGCCCTTCTCGATGGCCCGCACGTAGCTGTGGCTCCGCATGCGGAAGCAGCCAGGCATGGGCAGGTCCAGAGCTTCCACCGCCTGCGACTCCAGCTCGCTGAACACTGACTCACACACGGATTCGAACTGTCCGTTCACCTCCATCTCGCTCACCTGCGGGCAGATACACGATGGTAAACGCCTGGCTGGCAGTTCTCCACCAATATCTCCCTCCCAGTATCTGGAAACTTCATTCCCCACAAGAGCAGCTTTGGTTATGTATCATTCCAATGTGTATTATTTCCCTTGTGCCACAGATTATAAGTCAATGGCTTGTAGCTGATAATATAATAGATGGCATTTTTTTAAAGGAAGAGAGCTTTGGGGCTGGGAAGATATCTCAGTATGTAAGAACTCTTGCTTTGCCTGCCAGAGGACCTGAGTTTGAATTCTCAGTATCTATAGTGAAAAGCAGGGTGCCTTAGGGTTTCTATTGCCATAACCACAGCAACTCTTACAAAGGAAAACATTTGAGATGACGGCTTACAGTTTCAGAGGTTCAGTCCATTATCATCAGGGTGGGACATATCGGCAGGCCGGCAGACATGGTGCTAGAGAGGTAGCTGAGAGTTCTACATCTTGTAGGCAACAGGAAGTGAACCCAGACACTGTGTGTGTATGTGGCTTGAGCATATAAGAGCCCTCAAAGTCCACCCCTACAGTGACACACTTCCTCCAATAAGGCCACACCCACTCCACACACTCTTCCTAATAGTGCCACGACCTTTGGGGGACATTTTCTTTCAAACCCCCACACAGAGCATGGCTACATGTGCCTGTAACAGAAACACTGGGCAAAGCACCGGGGTACAAAGACAGGCAAATCCCAACAGCTCATGGGCCAGCAAGCCGAGCCAACCTGGGAGCTCCAATTTCAGTGAGAGACCTTGCTTCAAAAACCAAAGTGGAGAGCAATAGAGGAGGACCCCTACCTCTTGCTCTGGAACACACATCTGCATACTTTGGTGCATGTACCTTCTACGTTCCCTCCCAAAGGAGAGAGCTTTGTTTCTCGAGCAGTGAGGAAATTCAGAATGGGAAGGAAGCTTTTGCCCAATGCGTTCTTGATAATCCCGTTGACTGTTTCCAGTTAGCTTACTTTAATTTTTGCATTGCTGGGGATGGAACCCTGGGCCTCTTGCTGGGCAAGCATTTCATCACTAGGTTCTGTACTCCTTATTTATAAATGGGAGTCTAAAGAGCCAGTTTATTTATTGGTCATGGTTCATGTATTTCAATGTAACTTTTTAGCAATTGCTATTTTTGTAAACTGTTTTATTTTGCCCTTTGAAGTGACTAGTTCATCAAATAATTTCAAGGTTGACTGGAGCTCACTGAGTGCAGAGTATGGAACATACATTTTTTATTTTATTTTGTTTTGCAAGATATATTCTGTACTAAAATCGGCCAAGCCTAGATATGTCAAAATCATAAAAGCACTATCAAGATTTCAAACTATTTACAGGTTTCACTTTTCATAAAAAAAGTTTAATAAACTTTTTTTTTTGAGATAAGAGGTTTTAGGTTTTTAATGTAATCCTGGTTGTCCAAGGACCTTTTAAAGGTCCTTAGCTTTAGGTTTTTAATGTAATCCTGGCTGACCTTGAACTCACAGAGAGCTTCCTGATTTTGCCTCTGGAGTGTTGGTATTAAAGGTGTGCACCACTAGGCTGGCCTAATCTATAAACTCTTTACAATATATTCATGAAGATCTCTGAAGTAAGACCTTCTTTAAAAAAAAAAAATCACATAATTAATCACTAACAACAACAACAACAACATGATGCCTTAGGTAGAGGCAGGTGAGTTCAAGGCTACATACTGAGTTCTCTGCCTGTTCCTTTGAGGCAGGGTCTCTCTCTGACTCTAGTACTGGCATTCTCTTAGCTAGGGTGGATACCAGGAAGCCCAGCTATCCTCTTATATTTTTTTCAGTTCAGAGATGTGAATACAGACATGTGCAGATTGCATGACTTTTTATATGGGTGTTGGAATTAAAACTCTGGCCCTTACAATTGAATATCAAGTAGTCATGAATTCTAAGCCATCTCTTTAGCTCTCTGAATCTGTACTTTTTTAAAAAAAATTGATTATATATATATATATATATATAGTGTGTGTGTGCCACCAGTATGCCTGTGGAAGTCAGAGAATAACTTGATGGACTGGATTCTCTCCTCCTCCTCCTCCTCCTCCTCCTCCACCACCACCACCACCACCACCACCACCAGGTATCAAATTCAGGTTATCAGTCTCGGTGGCAAGCATTTTTCTTGCTGGGTCACCTCTCTGGCTCAGTCACTGAATCAGAATCTGAGTTTAAGGATCTGCAAGGGTTTGTATATTTTATATGTTTTATATGCTCATAACTATAACTTGTTTGATTTTTTTATATTAATTATTGCTATAACAAATATCACAAAGAAACAGTGAAATATCTATCCTTGTTAAGGTTGCAGACATTAACCTTGGGTGTCTATGTTTCCAGAGGGTTTATGCATCTTCTTTCCTAGTTTTAATAAAATTTGAATCATACAGCAAACATAATTTTGTAACTTGTTTTTATTTTACTGAATCATCTAGGCTAAACATACATTCTTAATAGGGTTGTTCTTTTTCTCACACAGATATAGGAAACCAAAGGAAATGAATGTCTAACTTAACAAATAATAATAACCAAACATCCTTGGAAATACTAACAAAATCAAGAATGGACATTCCCAAGCCACCCTATAACCCTCCATGTGCATATCTTAACAACAACCCCATCTCTGATTTCTATTTCATTCAATTTAAAAAGTTTTTTTTTTTCACCAAAGTATGACTCCCTGGGCCCTACAGATTATTCATTGAAAACAATCCAATACATAGGTTTTGAAGGGATCAAAACCTGGGAACTCCTGTATGACACTCTTATTATTAGAGATATCCCCAGCCTCTATTACATCATTAACTTAAAAAATAAGTTACCTTTTGTACATATGTATTTATGTGTATGTATGTATATGTGTGTTACCTGTAGGGGTGTGTGTGCCAGGGTGTGAATGTGGGAGTCAGTTCTCAGCATGTAAGTATCAAATTAGTGTATCTTTAGATTGTACTGTGTTAGGAAGTTTTATTTTAAATTTTATCTGGTTTGTTGTTATCTTGTTTAAATGTTGTTAATGGTTTTTGGCTTGCAATTGGGACACTTTCTTAAGTGGTCTTGAACCTACTTCTGCTGTTTTGTACTTCATCTCTATGTGAAGGGGCATCCTCAGCACAGATGGTGCACACTCTGAAAAACACCGAATAGACTCTGGGTCCTGCTACCAAATGTTCAGCCAGGACTGAGTTCTTTGTAGCATCTTTAACATGGCAATTCACTTTCATCTTTAATAAATGGCACAGTCATACATATTTCAAAGAATTGCTTTAAAATAAATTTATGCTTTATCATCAGTAAATTCACATACTTATCTTATATACTTATATATGTGGAGTTGCATAAGAAACTTTTTAAGTGAAAAGGGCTCATATATTCAAAAAGTTTAAGAAGTCCACTCGAGTCTAATTCCTTGGTTTATAACATTTCACTTGGATCCTTCTTCAGAGCCTTTGGTGAATAATGACAATGTGCTTAAATTCAACAGGATTCTTCTACATAGATATATTAATATATACATATAATACTATATGAGAATAACTCTTACAAAATCATCTCCTTTTAGAAAAGTCAGTGTGCATGGTTGAGTGACTTTGAAGAAGAAACTGTTCTCTGAATAATGACAACCCTGCAACTGTAATAGGAAGTTTGAAATTGTCTTTAAAGATAATGTGTTATTTGAAAGTTGAATACAGTGCCAGAAAAGTGATGCCATTAGAACTCCATTAAGGATGGTCGTACTTTCTGGTTTTTTTTTTTTTTTGTTTTTTTTTCTTAAGGCCAAATGACTACACTGTGGAATTGCACCACTTGACCCGAAGACAGCATTAGTCTTTTCCATTCCTGATATCTTACTAAGCTGTCATTGGGCAGTGATGTCCCAAGGAAGGTCATATCCACAGTACAGGGACCCGAAGCAGCCAGCTGCACAGCACAGTGTCCTGCTGGGGGACATGACATGGTCCCTTCTTCTAAACACATTAAAGTTATGGAGTTCATAAATGTATATAAATTTTTCACAATTTTATTCATTTACTTTTTGAGAAGAGGTTTTACTATCTAGCTCTGACTGGTTTGGAACTTACAGAGATCCGCTTTCCTCTGCCTCCCGAGTGTGGGATTAAATGCATGTGCCACTACACACAGCTTCACAAAGATTTTACATGCACTGATGCGTTCTGTGTGTCAGTCTTGCCTTGATGACCCCACTCTACATTGCGGTAGTTTTAGGACTATGGTGTTGCCAGTGATGTCTACCCTAGGCACAAACCCCTCGAACAACTTTGCAGCTGAAGCATCATTCTTCATCAACATCATCCAGAAAATTGGATGGTACCAACCTAATAGGTTATGAATTTCCAAGGATTCCCTCCTTATGCCCTACTCACCTGCAGAGGTCCCCTCTTCTCCTAGTAGACCATCAAGACCAGGATGGGGATGGACCTATGGCCGACACTGCAGCATCTGGCTGTACTTCCCGTTGACCCCATCAATGGTCTGGTGGGTGTGACTACCTTGGCTCCCTTGCCCTCTCAGGTCTCACTGATAATGGCCCCTGGCCACGGAGGCTCTGCTGGCTCTCACCTGGCTTATGGTGCTCATGGCTCGCATGTAGCTCTCGTTTCTGGAGCGGAACTTTGGTGACGTGAGCAAGCCTGCAGGGTCAAGGCTGTCCAGGCTTCTGTTGATGGAGACTTCACTTACTGCCCTCAGGTAACTGTGACTCCGGATCTGGAGTTTGGGTG